ACCTTTTCTAGAATCACTAGTCTCTAGTACGTCTTCGTACGCTGTAGGTAAAATGCTGTATATGGCTTCTCCTCACTTTTAGTGTGTGACCGATTGCTCTAGTTGTCAGTGACCTTATTTGATTAAAAATATATGATACGTGCGTGTTAGTTTCCTGAAACTGGAACTCAGAGTCACTTATCGTGTAGGGCACTACAAAGTGTAGGCTTTGAAAAAGTACCCTGCTTTAGGGAGATGTGTCTTCATTCTCAATAAAATAATGCAACATGCTTTTAACAGAAATGAACTTTGAAATAGAATATCACAGGGTACCCAAATTTAAAAAAAAGAAGTCTCGAAGGTGGTTTTTTTTTTATTTGCATCGGAATTTTTCGGGGTTTGATATTTTTTCCCATGATTGTTTAGATATATCCCGATTATCGTATCACTCAGATACCTTATTTATTTTTTACATAATAGCCAAATATAATTCAAACACAACCTGCAAATTATATGATAATGATTAAATGATGTCATGGGATACAGGCCTCCAAATTTCGCCATTTGTCGTTAGAGTGGGCAAGTTTGGCAATTTTTAGAAAAACAAGTGAAATGTATATATATATATTACTTTATATTAAAAGCAAGCTATACCAATAGTTTGTTTTTAAAAAGTATTACAATTCTTCTAGTTTTATTCTTGTAGTTATTCAGTTTCAAACGTGCCCCCTCCATCAATACGCGTTAATGCAACTGTCCACCTCTTCATGCCTTACGATTTTTCTCGTCCCCAAATATTTTTTCTGGTCAAAATTAAGTGTGGATTCGTTTATACCAGACACTAAAAAATATAGCACATGAAAACATCAGTTTATTTAAAAATCTCGACCAACCACCCTCCGTTCGATTCATCTGAAATCGCTCATATCAATTTCGCGTCCTCATAAGTCAGTTCACAAAGTATATTCCAACGTATTATAAATTTTTATTAGTATATGAAACGTATGCTTTTAGTACCTAGGCCGTCTATTCCTAACAGGGTAAGCGCGCTAACCATGTTGCCAAGAACGCTAAGTACACTCAATTTATTTTGAAAATATTCATTGCATAATAAACGCATAACAAAGAAAATTTTCACTGTATTTTGATTCATAAAAGTACAAACGTTTGCACCATTTCTTTTATTTTCTTCCACTAAGGGTACAGATCATTGAACGCATTGACCGGACAACTTCCTGCGTTCATATGTACGGTAGGACCCACTCAGTGCTTTACACTATGCTGGAATATTTCATCGTTAAATTTCTATCAGCACACGTAAGTGATGTTAAAGAAAATAAGTAGTATCTAATTTCTGCTGACTGTTTCGTATTCCTTATCACACGTGTAAAAGACTTACAAAGCAAAGTCTTCCTCTCTGTCAATGTGAACCACTGCAGATGAGCGCAACTAGCGGCGAGCACAATCACTGATATCCAAAAGACAGATGTCGCCTTTATAAAGTAATAATTGAAGGGGAAAAGACTACAGTGTTATACGGATTGTAGTTTGCACCTGCGGTATAGTCCGGAAAGGCCGAATTTCATTTGAGAAGATAAGTCTTTATTTTCCTCCCTCAGACCGCACCTGGTGAATAGTCTGTGAATAGTAATTTTAACGCGCTCGTCAGCGCATGAAAATTTATTATAGACAGCAAAACTTTAGAAATGCCTACTCCATTAAATATGACCTCATAAAAATACTAGCACAATACATAGATCATTACTATCACTGCCCATAAAGTAGTAATTTTACCGCTTTGGTGTATTTAGTCAATGGATTACTTTTATTGCGTTTAATACAGAGGTTGATATATTTGCTGAAGTGCTGAGAGATTATATAGATACTAATTACGCGAGGAGAACGAAATTTCTTAGACTCCTATTGCATACTGAATGAATAAATTGTGCGTTTTATTAAAGTTTCTTAAAGAATAATAATTATCTGGCACAGACTGAAATGCCGTGAGCCGAGGGCAAAAAGGACACAAGATGGTGACAAGGAAGATAAGCACACATTTTAACTTCAGTTTGGCAGCTGCAATACTCGTAGTCACCCAAGGAAAATTTCACTGCAGAAACCACTATTGTTTGTAGCCTATGACTTGCTATATCATTTGTCATGAGAGTCACAATGCAGCTCATAGTGCATACGACGATGCAAAGTTTAGATAAACACTGTATTTTATGAATAATTTACGACGCCCTCATGAACCTCAGTGCGATCACGGTGCGCCACTTCGAAATCGAGTGATTGCTTTGTCCCCGTGTTATCGTGCAGTTTATTGTCTCTGTGTAATCGTTTCATGTTCAAGATGTTTTCCCAGCATCATTGTAGCTTCGTGTGTGTGACTTGTCTTGTTTCTCTGTAATCGTGTAATGGCCAAGCTGTTTCGCCGCCATCATTGACCTTGTAACAACCAGCTCAACTAAAACCGATCATTGCTTCGTAGCTGGGGCGCAAATGTGGATATGTGCGTACTCCCGCTCCATGTATGAGCGGCGCTGGTTTATCGGCTCGTGCTGCAGCCATGAGCAATCGCTTCATAGCTTGGGTGCCAATCTGGTTGTGTGCGTACTGCCGCTCCATGTATGAGCGGCGCTGGTTTATCGGCTCGTGCTGCAGCCATGAGCAATCGCTTCATAGCTTGGGTGCGAATGTGAATATGTGCGTACTCCCGATACGTGTATGAGCGGCGCTGGTTTATCGGATCGTGCTGCAGCCATGAGCAATTGCTTCATAGCTTGGGTGCGAATGTGAATATGTGCGTACTGCCGCTCCATGGATGAGCGGCGCTGGTTTATCGGCTCGTGCTGCAGCCATGAGCAATCGCTTCATAGCTTGGGTGCGAATGTGAATATGTGCGTACTCCCGATACGTGTATGAGCGGCGCTGGTTTATCGGCTTGTGCCGCAGCCATGAGCAATTGCTTAGAGGGGAGGGCGACGTCAAAGACGACGCTTATGACGACCTCTAGGACGACCTCTAGGGCGATCTAAATGACGACTTCTAGGATGACGTGAAAGATGATGTCTAGGTAGACGTGGAGGACGACGCCCTAAAGGACTTCGTCTGGAACGACTCCTAGGACGATTTCTAATGTGATCTTAAGGAGGAGGTCGAAGACGACATCCTAGAAAATGTCGTAAAACATGACGTCTAGACCGACCTCGAGGACGACCTCCAAAGTAACCTCAAGGACGTCCTCAAGAACTGCGTCTAGTACGACGTTGAGGACGACGTTCTGGAGGACGACGTCAAACACCACGTTTAGGACGACCTCTTAGACGACCTCTAGAACGACATCGAGGACGACATCCGCATACGCGCGGCGCCTGCGGACTTCGTGCGTATGCGGACTTCTTGCGTATGCAAAGGCGCTGCACGGTCGCGCGGCGCCTCCGCATGCACGCAACGCGCATACCTACGGTGTATTCGAGGCTAAATAGCCCATCTCGAAACGACGGTCAAGTTGCTAAAGGACTCTATCGCATTAAAACACGTTTGCACCCTGTCCTATTGCTGGGCGAACTAGCTCTTGCAAAATTTGTTGGGTGGGGGTAGAAATTATGTTTTTTGACTTTTAAACGTGTGAGCCTTGACAATGAAACATAGATATAATGCCTAAATTTCGCAATATATATCTGAATTCATCGGACGAAGGGGGAAATTAATAATTCTTGGCGTAAACCCGGACTTTTTCATTGAGGTTTTTTAAGGCGGATACGAGAATAGGCCAATTTGAATAAGTGAAGCCATAGCCTCCTCTATACGGAGAAAGCCTGGCACATCGACGACGGAGCAATAGGGCGCGCGGCCGCAGGAAAAAGGAGAGGAGGAGCGTGCCGAACGGTGACCAATATGGTAGCGCAGAGCAGAAAAGGCAGACCTAGACAGTGAGCGCTTGGGTCATGAGCGGCCGCTCCCCGAACCACGCTTGTTTTTGTGTTTTCGTCACCGTCGTTATCGTACTCCGGGAGAAACAGGCGCGGCGATTCGAAAGGGCGCAGGGAGAAACGGGAAAGGGTGGACGTTGAGTTTCTCCTCTCCACGATAGCGACAAGAAAAGAGAGAGAAGAAGAAAAGATTGTTTCTGCGTTTGGCCGCTCGCTCTTTTGTGGCGCTAGCAGCAAAGGTTCTCTCCGCTCCCGTTTCTCCACCCCTCCTTTCCCATTTACGGCGGCCGTCTTTTCACGCGACGCGCCAGGCTTTCTCCGTATAGAGGAGGCTATGGTGAAGCATACCGCCTCTGTTATTTATATATAAGTATTCGTTCGATTCAAACATGAGAGTGGAGATTGACATAAAATGAGCGTGGTTATTTACTGACATTTCATATTCCTCTATTGTTTGGCTGTAGAAAAGTGAAACACAAAACATGCCAATAAAAAATTCGTTCGCCAAACGAAAGCTAATAAGCATACATAGGTGACTCTTAGCCAAGTTTAGTTATAGTCATCGGAAAATGCGGGTAGTGGGGTTAGCGATTTTTAAACAGATGATGTTCAGTGACATTGATGCTACGGGATAACATGATATCAAGTATCCCAGAGGCAGTGTGAGGTGACGTGGTACCCTGATGTCACGCGACACTAGATTCTCATTAAAGATAGCAAAAATGTCAGCTAAATTTTATTTAGCAAACAAAGTTCAACACTGAATTTAGCCAAATTCGTAGGCGCTAAAGTTAGAGAGTACGTTTTGACGGCATAAAAACGTCGTCACGTCATACCATGACGTCACAAGATAAAGACATTGTGATCCCCTAGAAAGTATGGCAAACAAATATTTGCTCTAAATTTAGCGTGTCACGGCTTTGTCGAAAAAGACATGCGACCTGCTCGCGAAACCGCAGTTGCATGCGCCAAGCAAGGCTATCGCCGTAAAACGCGTCTGCCTGTATCCGGTGAGTACCTTCGCAGCGAGTGTGTGCTGATACAGCTGTGGGTCCGCACGTTGTTTCTTCAACCAGCGAGCGAACAATGCGAATCGCCACGGCCCACCTGTTCCTCCTGCTGGCGGTGCCGCTCTGGCTGGTGTCTGCCAGGGTGCCGCTGCTGGTACAGTGCGCCCAGATCCTCGGCCTGCTGATTCTGATTACGCTTGTCAGCTACTGGACGGTCTGGATTCTGCGGCGGAAGGCGTTCCTCAAGCTCGTTGATGGGGACGGTAAAGCTGTGCTCATCACAGGTGAGACTCAAAAAACCTCCGGCCTGTTCTGTATCAATGCTACAGAGAAGACGAGTCCGCTCGTGACGGCATCGTCGGTGGATCCCCGGCTTGCTTCAAGCGGCATGGCTTGCCGCAGTTTGACGAGAGTACGCCGCAAAGCGACAGTCGCATGCGTCTTGGCATCGCTGTATATCTTCGCGAGCCTTTTGAGACGCTGCTAGACGCTGCAAGACTCGCTGGCGGCGACGCTGACAGGAGCTAGACGGCGCTGCGTAATTCCAATAGCGGTGCCGTTCGAGGTGGAAAGGTGTAGGCATTGTCTTCTATATAATAATAACTGTTTCCACGTTGTCCTAGAAAGGGAGACAACGCGTGCTCTGTTTTTGACTTGAGTTTTTCTGAAATTGGTAGACCTTAGAACCTTCAATGGGTCGAAAGGTGTGTCCCACTCTAAAGATAGGTGCTCCATGTAGTGAAGGTATGATGCTGCTGCTTAAAGAAAATACCGTAATTAAAACGAAAACAATTTCTTTAACGCTCATTTCGGACACTTAGTTCTTATCTCAATTGTTTTGACGAATCTGTTTTCCATTTTTCGGACAATATTTACGCTGTTAGACGCAATTTAGGTGGAGGTCACGGCCCGCTCTAATCCCCACCCACAGATCAATGGCCCCGCCCATTACTCCTGGATTTTTCTGGCTGCTCTGCCGAAAACCCTCGGAAGTTTAGTGTCAGCATTTCGCGACAACCGGTAAGCCTAGTTGGGCGTCTGACACTGCCCGCCAATTAAGAGTGCAGACGCGAGGCAACCTTCGGAATCGTATGCTATTTTACCAAATCTATCGTCGTCTGCAAAGCCTGTAAGAATCGGACATGAACTCTGCGCGTCGGCGTCCGTTTTTGCTTTCGTCCGTCTGCTATTTCGCCCCCGCCTAAACAAGTTCTACAACACTCGCAATAGACGTCCATAAAAGCGGCGTTTTAGCGTTCCATATTGTGCGAGCGACTGTCGAATACGAGCGCCTCTCAACGTCTGTCGACTTGCGGTAAACGTGACCGAGAGGGCTAAGAAAAACACAAATTAAATATGCCGTCATTTCAGTGTCTAGGTTGTTGTTATTTCTTCGCATGGCATCCGCGAGCAAGGTGAGTGAGCGTCATGACGCCCAATTCTAATGTGACCTAAATATATTCACTTCCGCAGGCCAGGTGCACTGCAAACCTTGAGCTACTTTCCTTTCGAAGCGAAATGACGGGAACATACCTGAACTAACTTGATACGAGCCGAACGCAAGATTATCTCCAGCCAAGTGGCCCTCAAATTTTTCCTGTCTAGCTACGTTCTCAATAATAAAATCATGGTTGCAGTAGACCCTCTTCCAAATAATGCCCTCTGTTGGCAGCTGTGGAGTTCCTGCATACTGAGGACTAAAACCTCAACGCCGCAGCACAAGAAAAAAAAACACAAAGAAAACGGGGATGAGCGTAGTGACGTTGCACGTTCGATGCTGTTGGATTGGCTCGTAGGCTTGTAGAGTTGGCCACGCTCCGACGTCCGCTATCTTAAGGAATCACTGCAAGTCCCTCAATACAGCCACTCCACCATTGTGCAGTGGTTTCGATCTTCTAATAATCGGCGCGTGACTTCGAAAGGGGTGTGTCACGGTGGTTGCAGAATTCAAAAGCATCGGTGTCGCTTTAAGGGAAACCAACATCGTTATTCAACAGAAACACGCACTAACGAACAAATCAACTCAGAGCGAGCAACATAGTTGACGTGGTAGTTTTCGTAGCGGGACTGACTTAGGCTGCAGTCCCGCTACAAAAAACAAGCACCAGCGCAGCTCTTCCGAAGTAGCGTACTTGCGGTAGTTGTTGTTACAAACTAAATCGGTTGAGGAAATCTTCCTTTCTACACTCCGGTGAACGGAAAACGACACACACTCGTAAAAAAATACGAGTTCAACAAGCTGCACTCGTTCATCACGCACTCCGTCGACGCTGGCAGCCATGTTTGTCATCGTGTCACACCATTCCGGAAAAGACAATCTTGGGGCACTTTTGAAAACATCAATAACTCTTGAAAATATAAATGACTCTGTCGAACTTTTTCTTCTTCAAAGATGAAAAAAATTGCATTCAAAATATTGTTACGGCGCGGTAATTCAATTCCACAACCAACATTTCGCACGTCGATCATCTATCCAGCCAATGAGAGATGAAAACAACTTGTAAGCACGGGTCGGGGTTGAACGCGCTGCAGCCTCCACCTTCTTCACTTAAATTTGGTCTCACTGCTCAAACATTACTAGAATATGTCTTTTCAGTCGTAAAATAAAACAAAAATACTTAGGTGTCCTGTCGATTCCCTTTAGAAATTCTTTTTCGTTGGAATGTCACTTTAATGAAGCGCGCTCCCAATTCCGAGTTTGAACTGATTCGTTGCTGATACGGCTGTATCAACGCCATATCGGCCCAGTATTTGTATTAATTTCGGCGTTGTCACATACTAATAGAAACTCTATTACACTTTAGTATACTGGCACCAACCTTAATAATAAATATTCATGGGAACCTTATTTTAGCTAGATTTCTATAAGAACAAAGTGAAGTTTATGATTTTTAAAGTAATTTGTATGTCCACGCAGGAAACTGAACTTATCGCATACAATACTCTCAACCTTCCTCAACTCAAATGTACCTCACATGTCTCTAACACCTGCCAGCTATATAAAAACAGCTGTATCTGTACAAAACAATACTCCTAACTGTCTTCATCCTTTTTAATTATAGCAACTATTATCAGTACCATTGCAATAAAAGCTGCATTAAGCATTCCTTTTTGTTTGGAACGCTGAATAAATATAACACGTTTTCACGGCAAAACAAAATTCATTACTACTCTGTTAAAAAAAACGCGCATTCTTTATTAATTTTTTTATATTGCGTATCAATATAAAAAGGCAATGATCGCCAGTTTGAGTTATCCGAGTCATAAATCACAAAATTGGTTGCATAGTTGTTCTTAGAGCAGTAGTATGGTTTGTCACTAAAGGAGCGAAAGTTAAGCTTTCTTCCAGAGATGCAATGCAAAGAGTGAACTACGACCACTACAATAGCGTATTTAGCTTCTCGGTTTGATGGATAGTGGGAGTGCGATCAATCAAGAAGTGCATGGCGGGGGTATCATCATTACTTGAAATACCATATAGAAGGCAAGGCTTGTGCAGGACGTCACTCTAAGTGAATTCTCGACCCATCCCGAGCGGGAAACACGTGCAAGCTTGACGGCGGTCACCGAAAATTGACAAACACCTCGATTGTTGCCTTACATTTGTAACTGAATATTACTTTATATAGAGGCAGGTTACTAGCACGCCAGGTTACACGGCAACAAAGGATTTTTTTCTCGTAATTTCAAGAGTCAACGCCGGTTTCTTTTTACATTATTCTTCATTTTAAATATTTTTGGACGTTCGAAAGTGGTAGTTGTGTCTCCCCCTGCACGTCAGCAATTCGCTGACGAATTTTATAGAGCTCTGTGTCCCTCGGACAGCGAAATTAAGCTGAAAATTAATCTTTGACAAATATTCCTGTCTGCGCTCGAGAGCAATACACCCTTTTCAGTTTTACACAAGTGCCCTAGCGCGCGCCCCATGAATTTTGGTTGCTGCGTTCTTTCTTCTGGCTGCCCTCCCAACAGATCGCCTTACCGCACTGTTGACGTCTTCTTAGTCGTCCCCTTTTATATTTAATTACTTAGTTTTTTTTTAATTGCAGTGTAAGTTTCTTTTTTGTCAATGTTTTTTTTTTTTTTTTTTTTTTTTTTGTGTCTGGTGTATTTTCTTAATTTTTAGTGTTTTTCTTGCAACTTTCATCGTCTTTGACTCGGGAGTCCACAGACATCATGCCGCTGCTAACGCTGCTTCAGAGGTCTGTACTACGTCACGATGCTGTATTTCGCTATAAACTCGTCTGTTTTACTATTGCATGCATGGAGTCTCCAGAGAGCAAATTTGGAATGTCACTGCTCATGTCATCTTTGTAAGCGAATCAACGACGTAGCAATCGCGACGGGAGAGCCGACTGCGCTTCGACCTGGCCGATCGCGCTCGCTCCGCTGAAACGAGAGCGCCTGACTCTTCAGAACCGCTAGCTCGGCGGTAATGCAGCACGCTGCTTATTCGTGTGGAATCCTTTGACCTGCGAACGCCCGCGAAGCCGTTTTGGTGTTCGGCGTAGCCTAGCAGCGCCAGTCAACAACCATCCCCGCGGCATCGCAACCTTTCTGGCGCTCGTCGGCCGTCGGTGAGCGCCGGCGATTAGCAGTCACGACACGACTTGTAAGCGAGCATTTTATAAACCTTCGCAAACATAAACCCCCGTGACGATGGACTGGCGGCGCTCGAAGAAGAAAGATTACGATGCTGCAAAGACGGTTGTTGAATCGTAAGCTGAGCCCTGCAACGGCTTCGCAGGCGTTTGAAAGAAAAGTATTCGCGAGGAAAAAAGCAATGTTAGGAATCCTCAGCAGGCTAACGGTGCTTGAAGGGCCCCCGCTGACACTTGAGAAGAGCGAGCGCGGTCGACCTGATCCAGGCGCAGTAGGCTCTCACGTCGCAATTCCTAAGTCGTTGCCCTGCCTTCAGTGATGACATCTGCATTGATATTCGAAACGGCTTTCTTGAGAGTGCATCCCGATCCAATAGGCAAATTTATAGCGCCATGCCGCGCTGTGAAAGGAGTGGCGCTTATCTTCGCCGCGGCGTAAGCAGCGACGTAACTTCAGTCGACGCCCATGTGGAAAACAACAGAATATATTTAAACAAAAACTAACCAGACAAAACGTACAGCACGCAGAATGAAATAAATTTACCTAGAAACAATAGAAACACACTGGAATATATAAAAGTAAATGATCAAAGCTAAAGACTAAAGAGTAAGAAGACGCCTATGACGAGGTAAGGCGAACTGAAATGCTGTGCAACCAGGAGACAGCACGCGGTAGCCACAATTCCTCGGGCACGCACTAGGGAACTTGATAAAACAGCAATATCTAGATTATTCAAGTTGCAACAATCAAAGACTACAACGAAGTTAATGCACACCATGTGCATTACGCCTTTCCTACTCGAATGCCTGACTGTAGTGAGCATTGCATGTACGGGCCTGTCAAGTGCAACGTGCCTCTGGCGGCCTCTAACCTAAATAGCCTACACCACCTCAGTTCTGGAGCACCGGCTGTCACAACATACTCAACGACTTCTTTCCCCAGGGAGCGCAGCAGAAATTTGTGTTTTTTTTAGGATTGGGGCTGTGAAATTCAAACCTATCCAAGCTTTTGGTTCTATAGATGTTCGATGTTCAATTGAGTTGTTATCTAATAAAGTTTAACACTTCCTTACACCCATTTTCAACAAGATACTCCGCAAACTCTTGAACAAAGCACGATCTGAAGGTGTATTCGACCTAATCACTTAACAATGACGTCAGTAAAACCGCTATGAAAGTCACAGTTGGCACGAGTTTGAGACTTAAAACCCAAGCCTCTAGACAATTTTTTTCAGGTGGCGAATCTCAAAATGCTGTCTCTCCATAACATTTGTAACCGCTCAGGTATAATTAACCAATTCCAGTGACATAAATCGGAAATGAAAGCTGTAAAAACATGATAGAGCATCACTCATCTTGAATGCAGGCATCGCTAGGAAGCATATCTAAACAGCGAAAGAGTATGACATTTTATTGCTAATGTTACAGTAGTACTATAGTGATCCAGCTGTTAGGACTTTACGCCATAAGAAAGCAACAGCTTCTAGGGTCTGTGAGCACTGTTCTGTAGCATTGCCTCTTACCACAGGTGACCTACTTTTACGAGTTAGTGATGACTTAGCTTTAAATAAAGTTCATAACGAAATTGATAGAAGGCGTTTTTTTAAGCCTTACATGTTTGTCAAAAAAAGTTGTGAAAGCTACACTTATGTGGTTTCTGTAGGTGAGTTATACGGCCGGGAGGCATGGAACACGCGGCTAATCGTAATGATCAGTTGGCTAAGTAAGTAAAGTTTGTTAATTCACTTTATAATTAATGAAATTAGGCATGTGGTTTTAATTAGAAACTTGCTGAACGTCATCGGAAGCCACTAATTCAGTCATTTTCAGAAAGCCTTTGAGCGGATAAGAAGCGTAGCAGTGTATAAGTTACCACTCGTGGAGCAGGTACAAGTCTAGCGGCTGCGGTAAGGCGCCCGCGCGATTTTTCCGTCCCTTATGAGAGCCGCAGCCCTGTATTTGCTCCACGAGTGGTAACTCTAGCGCACAGCTGCACTTCTCACGCGCTCAAAGTTTTCTAAAAATTATGATTTAAATGTTTTCGATGACGCTGAGCAAGTTTCTAATGGGAACTAAACGATTATTCTCACTAATTAAAAAGTTAGTTCGCAAATTTCACTCAATTAGTCGACTGATTTTTACAATTAACCCCATATTCTATGTCCATCTGGACGTATACGTCACTTGCAAAAACTGCATAATTGTAGCTCAACTTTTTTAAACGAACCTGTGAAGCTTAAAAAAGACACCCTATATATATATATATATATATATATATTGCGTCACCTCGAGCAGTAAATTTCAAGTGTTTTTTTTGTTTTTTTTTTAGTTTGACAAGTTTATTTCTAGACATGGATGCTCGTACAAAAATTTTTTTGTGGCTGCCTGGATTTTGGTGTAGCATATGGTACAGGCGATGCTTCTCTAAGTTGATGTGAACGTCCCTCAGAAGCTTCGGCTTGTGCTGCTAAGTGAGAACGAGTTAATCAATATCTTATATGACACTCATATAGAACGGCTTCTTAAAGCACTGGACCACATTCTACTTTTTTATCTATATGATTACACCTCAAAAATTAAACCTGCCAGAAAAAAAAAAAGAATAATCGCCTAACTTATCAAATACTTGCTGTAACAAGCGTGTGAAATTTTTACATCGTTCGTTATAGAGATTTTTGAAAAATGCCAAAAAGCAGACTGAACTATGGAACTGAAATGTTAAGACATAGCCTCCTATAGTTTTTAACTTGTTTATTAATATTTACTACATACCTGTTAAAACGCTAACATCAATTTCATTAAAGATATGTTTATGTTATACTTTAATATTTTCTAGAGGTGTGCACATTTCGAATTCAGTGTTTTCTTAGAGTTGTGTGTTTTTTGTTTACTTTGTCTTGTTCTATCGTTGCAGGATTGCAATTTCTTTCTTGCATTTCTCATCATATATCCGCGTCTCTCTGCGAAGCGGCTATGGACGTCACCAAGCCAACATATATTCTGTTTTTGCCCAAGTCTTCCGCACCTGTGCAAATATATATATGTAAATAAATTGAAATTAAATGCGGGAAAAAGAAAACATAAAGTAAAACATGCATAGATGCTCTGCTATATTTTTCACGGGCATCGAATACAGCCACCGGATGCTAGATTCAACAACCCCACCGTTGAATTCGTGGAACAGTTGCCCCTGCTCTGGGTCTTTAACTATAGCTGCTGACGCACGTAGGTCGGTTCACCAGTCGGCCGGATGCAATGCGCACGAAACATAGGACAGCGGAAACAGTTGCGGAAATATTTATCGCCTTGTGACTCATCCACTTTGGAGTACAGGAAACTGTAACAACAGATCAAAGGAAACAATGCAAACGTTTCCTCTTTCGCAAGTCATTTGTTCTGGGTGCAAACCGCACCAAGACAACAGCATACCAGGCATGATTGAACGGCATAGAGTAAACATGCCTCGGTCAAATAAAGCCTGAAATTAGAGCGTGTGATTCATCAAGCTAGTTGACAGAAGTCGTGCCAGCTGTGTATTTGAGAATTCGCACAGCTGCGCTAGCCTATATTAAGTGAAGTTCCACAGAACAGCTCTACGGCACCGATATTTGGCTACTCGGTGTATATATTTTTACACAAATAAAAAAACTTGCCTTTCACACTGCTGAAAATACGCAATCCGGTTAAAATCCTGCTACGAAACCTACAGCCAACTGCGCCAAGAAACTAGCCCTGAAACGTGTTTGTAAGCCCAGATTTGCAACATTGTACACCTTTTTTTTTAAAAAAACGATACCATAATTCGCCTGTTACAGTGCCCTATGACGGAACATAGCTAATCTTACAGCGCAGTGACACTGAGTTCACCCTCTCAAAAGACGTCCGGCAGGACGTTACACCGCTGGACCACATCCGACCGGGCCTCTATATATAACAATGATTTACATCAACCTAACAAACCATATTACACCATTGAGTAAAGAGAACATCTCGGGCCTATAAACAACTCGCTAGGGGCGAACCATGTAGCGCTTCCTGGTTAGCCAAAAGAAAAGAAAGGCCCCGCAAAAAGCACACGAGCAGAACCAGTATTCCAGCATATTATGTTAGCTTGATATAAGTAATGCAGATGCATTAGTTGAATGCCTTCTATAGATTCAGTACTCATTTTGTGACAGATTATCGCGATATTTTACTACCGGCTAAATATCGTAGGTCATGTGTGCATTTAGGCAATTCCAGCGGTTGAGTTGTGATTTTGACTGCACAGAAATCGTCCAAAGGCATTGCTAACAGATAAGTCACATAGAACAGCATGTATATACAAGGTGTTAAGGATAATTACAATCAGGTGGCATAGTCTCAGCGATGTGAAAATTATGATGCTAGCTCATCATAGATACGAACTCACCTTGTTCAAAGTTTAATTTGCTTTCCGTTTGATATTTAACGAGACTTATTACGACAAGATAACTTTGTGCACATTTGGTGCTAGAGTACTTTAGTTGCCACAAGCTGTTGAAGCTGTCACATCAATTTCATCTAGGTGATTGGCCTACTCTCTGGAATTTTACGGATATAAAATGCTGGTAGTATTTTTGTATACTGTTCTCTCGATGCAGGGTGTGATACGGGCTTCGGTCACTTGCTGGCCAAGCGATTGGCCAAGGAGGGCTTCTACGTGTTTGCCGGCTGTCTCTTCTCCGACGGCGATGATGCCAGAGAACTAAGGTCTTCGCCGAACATCCACGTCCTTCAGCTGAACGTCACCAAGGAGGACCAGGTGGAGCTCGCCTTACAAGAAGTAAAGAATAACTTGGGCTCCAGAGGTATATGCACTCCAAACAACAAGTCGGCTACTAAAAAACTGATATTATAGTTATGTAGACTTGAACCGATGCCTCAAGTTTCAACCAGTTCAGAAGCAGGGTTACGTTTCAGACATTAAAAATATTGAGCAAGGATTTTCCCGAATGTTCAAACGGAAACCAGCTTGCCTGTATTTGTTTTTCTGTGAGATATATATATATTTTATAAAAGCATGAAGACGAAAACCGGGATTGTTCTGTGATGGCGCATCCATAGGAAAAGGTAAAATAGGATGCAGATATTAAGAAAGTAAATACGCATATTAACGAAACACACGGGCACTGTTTTGGTTGTGAAATAAAGAAGCTCCAGTACGTTCTTGGAGTGCTCTAATTACCCTACGCCGCTGCTGCCAATTATTCCAAGCGCCAAGGTTCTGCGACCAGATTCAATAAATGTGAACCTGACAGTGGTGCACTCATTTGATGTCTCTTGGCATGTATTGTTTTATGTATATACACAATAAATGCCCAACATCTTGCTTGCAGTTGCACACAAAAGGCGAATGCCAACGTAGACTCCGTAGCCTTGTCGAATGTATTAAGACCGGTAGCTTGAAAAAAGCTTCGAGCGGCATTGGGTGAACTGTTTCAAACTTGAATCACCGGCAAAATGACGAGCGGCAACGCGCCATCAGAAGGCGCAGCCAGTCACCTCAGCTGGCGCTCTGGTGCTTTACAAATTACTGCTCCCGTCTGTAAACTATGTAAAAAAATAGTGTATGAAAAAATGATGAAAACATCGAAGAACGCACCACTTTAACTGTTTTAGAAACACTATGGTGTTCAAAAAAAATACCACGCAATATAAAACAGTTTTTTTCTATAATGGTTGGCGTTTGCAAAACAAAAGGTTCTATTATACTTCACTGGTGTCTCTTACTTCTGGTGAGTATTCCCATTGGGCACATACTACGGCCCCAAAATAAAAAAAAATAAAAAAAAAACTACTGCTATGAAAAGAACGTATTGATGTGTTCTTTATATGAATATCGATGCCTGCAACGCTTTATTGGTGAACTTCGGGATTATTTCTTTTATTGTAACCAAATTTTTCTATTGTTTACCGGTTTGCCAATAATTTGTTATCAGGGAAGTACTCTGTATTATAGAATTTATTCTGTAATTTTTGTCCTTGATGCTGCGGCCTAACTGAAACTGAGGATCAGTGAAGCTGATTCATCATATGTAACATTAGCAATTAAAGACAGAGTTAGGCCTTGTACAATCTGACTGTTCCCGACAAAGCGAAGGGGATGGCGACAAACATGTGTAACAGAGTGATGAAGTTAATTTTGCAAAAATAAAATGGCGACAGATTTTTTAAATTGTTTTGCAGAGTGTTTGCGCTCTCTTGAAATTCATATACTTAACTCCTACCGTTCCATATACATTTCTCAGCGGTTCACAGCTCTGCCGTCAACATTATACAAAGATTTCGTTTTTCTTTTCGTTTTTTTTGTCACAATAGCATGTTCAATTAATAAAAAAAGCGTGGCTCTATTGCTATAATAAACGCTTATGAATACGGTGTACTAGAAGTATTACAACTGCTCTACAGTTTCTAATATTAAATCTGTGTTTAATGCTCAAATCAAGGCTCCCTCAATTTCAAATAAACAATTTCACGAATAGGAGCCATGATATATGAATCAGGTTGCTCCTTATAAAGTCAGCCGAAAAAATCGGCGCCTGCCCGTAACGCGGTCAGTGATCTACCAAAAATGTATTTTAGTGGTGCATTTTAACCTTGTGAAATGTTAAGCCTAGCTCCCTCGTAAAAAAATACCTATATTCCCACCAGCTCCTACGGCGGTCGCCAACCCAGTACACAAAGTTAACCGAAGGAAGTATGCCTAGATTTGAGACTGTTTGCAACTGCTTGAACGAGGTGACGTGGTGTGAACCCGCGTTTGTAATAAAAGGCGCGACGGGAAGGAGACACCGTCGATCATTTGCAAGTTAACAAATGCATGAGCGACCAATATGCACAGGTGGTATCTTTCATTAAATTGCAAACACGTTGCGGTTTGAGTTGCTACTTCTCTTAGTTTTAGGTTCTCTAATCGAGTGTTTCGTACGTGACGCCATTTTTTCGGAAAGCGAACAAGCAGAGGGCGGGGCTCGGTCGAAAGCAGACGATGCAATCGAATGCCAACTGTTCCTCTTAAAAGAAGGAGGAAGAAAGCGCAGAACCAAATATTCCAATCACTCTTGTTTTGCGGCCTTCGGTATCTCAAACGGCATCACTTCCCTCACCGCGGGTCCAATGATGTAAACAATGTATTCTACAGATATGTTGCGCAATAACTTGCATTCTCTGGTAGTCGCTGCGTCCGCAACAACTGCAAAACTTTGTGATCATTTTCTTTCGTTTATTAAATCGCAGTACTCTGGTCAGTGGTGGCCAATGCCGGCGTGCAGAATTCGGGCCCCGTCGAGTGGCAGACCATGGCTCGCATTCGGTCCGCCTTCGAAGTCAACGTCTTCGGCGTCGTCCTCGTCGCCAAGAGGTTCCTGCCGCTGCTTCGATACTCAAGAGGGAGGCTCGTCATCGTTTCGAGCGGCTTTGGTCAGTGGTTATTCAATTGATTGGCATAAGCTAGCATTTTTGTTTCGAAGTAGTTTCGCAAAACAGCTGAGTTCCACTTACCAACCTCCAGTAAGTTATGTAGACAATGCATCAGAAGAATAGCCAGGTATCACAGTGCTTTGCCTAAAATTATTTTTATATCTGAATATATGGGGCTTTAAAAAGTCAGAGAAGGCCAGGGTAGAGCCGCACTTGAACTTGTTTGGCCAGAGTCGAGATAATTTGACCATAACTCTCCAAACAAGTGCCAATATTTTGCTTCACTGCTGGTAACCGGAAGTAATTTAGCCTCTTAGGGCCTAAATTGCCGAAGAAGTGCCAGAGTTCGGCTTCCTTTCTAGTTTTACGGTTTTCAAGTGGTATTTTCGGTCCTAAACTGCCAAACAAGTGCCAGATGAAGGCTTGAATACTGATTATTCAGTTCATATGCAGTATCTTTGACTCGGGTCTTGCACTTTGGCAATGATGTGGTGAGCCAGAGAAAAGTCATAAAAATGCCAATACACTGTGGCACTAGCCAACGCATTAGAGCAAACCATACTGCCGAAATCAAGCCCCTAAAATTGCCATGTTTGTGCCAAATTAGGCCATTTCCTGCTGTGCTACTTGGGCACACTCTCGAATTAGAGCATGCAATGTTATTTCCGCTGCGCCCAATAAACTGCATGGTGTGTTAAACCTTACTGTGCCTACCGAATATCCCTTCAGACTTCTTTTCATTTTGAGATATATCCAACAGTTTTTCTTGTATCACAAAAAATCGAGCGTATGACGTTCCGTGAAGTGGTGTCAGCACTAGTTCCCACTTTGAACAATGGAACGCTGCGACTCTTTGACAGCTAATTTCAAGATCAAATAAAATGTAGAAAACTTATATTCTCGAAGCAGTGTCCTCCAGGAAAGGCTCGTAAGCTCTTTTCTGGTAGCTACACGGGTCCGCAATTCAGGCAATCCGAATCTAAGAAGACTCGGATTTGGTTTCAGGGGTTGCAGCGTGAAATGATACAGAACTATACTTTGTTTTACATTAAGTCCAGACGCAGCCGCCGCTCAAGCTGGTGGGATTAATCAGGCAGTGTCAAAAGGGCACCACCATGTTGTTCGACGTGTTTCTGTATTCGATATACCATCGCTGAACAAATCATAAACAAAAAAGGCCCGGCGACTTGAGCTTTCCACGCTGCTTGATTGGTACCATTATCTCGTAGCGTCTGGTGCGTCTGGACTTAAACCTAAGCAAAGTGTAGTTCAAAGATATTTTTTAGGATAAACATTGAAAGTCATTTATATGTAAAGAAAACAAATCACGTACACACCTTCAAATAAAAAGTGATTTACGTCAAAAAGAGCTAAGCTAGACATTATTGGGAAACAAGGTTCTATATCCCGCAAAGTTCGCAAAAGAGGAAACGTGCACGAAGGATAAAAATATAAAATAGCTAAATAAATTGCCGGGAATGCGCTTTGAAAAGTTGGATCAAAGTAAATATGCCGTGTGTATGTTTTGACACTGGGAAGATAGTCAAATCCAACGGGCGTCTGGAGTCTACACTGCAGATGACAATATTAGACAGTTGAGGACCACTGCTGGCCTGGAGTCTGTAACGTGCATCACTCTGTAGTGATACACGAGCGTACGCTTGCAAGATGCTTATCCAGATCAAAACAGGCAGGGGTGCGAATGAAACCCAGGATGCCTGGGTAATCAAGCTACGTGGCTGGATCGTAACTAGTTGGATCTTGCTCTCTCCCGATGAGGTTCATGTTTGAAACTGCGTTTTGGGTTGTTACAATGCACCTTTGGCCACAGTCAGCGAACCGATGTTCTTTTGACTTTTTTGTGTGTGGAAAACAATAAGCTGACTGCAAACGTGCCTATGCTCGTCTCCAAAAAAAGGTATTCGCATCTGGATAACTTTTGCCTTTTGCAGTTTAAGCAAATGTACAACGTAGAGTTCAAGCTCTGGGATATCAAAGAATGATGTGTTACACAAAAGCTCGAAACCTTTTTCTCACGATATTCAGTTTCAAATGCCAAAACTTGCATAAAAGAAAAAAAAATCGCCTCTTTTCAGTTGTCTAGACCAATATATCAATCGTACACGTGCTGCGGTTGGCAAGTTTAAGAACACTAGGAACTTCTTTATAAATGCTTTTCCTTCTCCATTAAGCTTTCCTCAACGCAGACGCAACTAGAGCGCAACCACTCCGTTTGCATGTCTGTAGAATTCCGTATGTTATAGCTCATTGCAGAAAACGTTGCGGGACGGTAGAAATGATCTGCTCAAACTCCCGATTATTTGTTGCCAAAGTGAAAAAGTTAGTGCTAGTTATTCTTTATCCCCTCCAACTTCAAAAATATTTTGTTTTCTTCCCTGCATCTCCTACGCCCAGGCCGAGATACCCTTCCAATAGCGCCAATTTATTGCATGACCAAGCACGCCTGCATTTCACTTGCCGATGGACTCCGTCGGCAGTACTACGAGAGTGGAGTCCACGTCAGCACCATTGAGCCTTGGGTGTACAGGTGGGCTCGGTTGTGAATTTCTGCACGCTATTATTCGGAGCGTCCAACACCTATAGAGTTGCGCGCTGCTCCCACTTTCTATGGCGTTGTGCTCAAGTAAGGTGATATTAATCATATACTGAGGTTGGCAGCTACACTGGATGTCATGCCAGTCCGGCCGTGGTCTATATACGCAATGCTTAGTCTAAGAGCCGCACGGCAGCGCATCTGTCTTGGCACATGCTTGCTTGCTATACAGAAAGAAACCGTGGAACAGGAGGAGATAAGAGCGAACGGGGACTTCAGTACGCCGAGCTTGGATTGGAAGGATGATGGGTACACGCAAATGTGTAGTCACTGACACGCTGAGAAACGCAGGGTATGGAAAATTATGTTCTGGCATTTTTGCTTTCTGATTGGTTATTCCTACATTGTTATCGCCCATGCCGCAATGTCATAGTGGCTGTGGAGCGGTCAAGAAACGCTCGAGGCTAGTCACGTCACTAGGTTTCCTAAGCCGTGATTGACTTTAGCTCCCGTTGTCTCTACACACAGTGAGAACGTGCGTCTGGCGTTCGAGTGTGAGACACTCAACGAGGAACAGACGACGCGCTTGTTCTATGATGCCTGAAGCTCGTCTCCAAATGGTGAGTTTACCCCGTCTAAACAAATTGGTCCCTCCATATCCGCCTGATCACGTCATGGAAGTGACACGCTGTCGCCGGTCGTGATCCTAGCGGTGTCCCAGCAGCGATGTGCTTGTGGCGGACGCCTGTATTGAAGCGGTAGCTCTGTCGTGTCGCAGTCTACGGAAGCCTCGGCAGCCAGAAGTTGGGACGCCGTGACGACACCGGCACTTCGCATTCGCATGTGGTTTTCGCCAGCATTTCTACGACCAACTGCGAGAATTGCGAGATCCGACAGCAGGACTACCCGGATTCTGTGACGCCATTTCTTGCCACCTCGGGACCACTTTTGACGCATGGGCGGGATAGGACGCTAAACACGCCAGTCCGAAACGGGCTCCAAGCGCCATACTTAGTCGCACTGATTGGAGCGAGACAGTGGTTAGAGGCAAAGGCAGTTAGCCTTTCCGTCTACCCACTAATCCTTCCAATCCTAGCTCGGCACTCTGACGTCTCATACGCCCTCCGCCCCCCTCCCTCCCCCCCCCCCCTCCCCACCACCGCTAACTCATCTCCTGATCTACCCCAGTTTGGCGCCACATAATCCAGACAGCCTCCAGAAATGCTTGTTTTGGCCATTTTTTTTATTATGTTCTAGCGGTTTTCACACCGACATGTTTCTTTTTTTGTTTTTTTTTTAGCTTGAGCTTGCTAGTCTCTTGATACCTCAATGTTTTTTTTAAGAAAAATTTAAGTGCTCCTTTCCAAAGAATTTTATTTCAATTCCAATATTTGGTCTTGGTTTTCCGTGCGATCCATTAAAGCCCTTGCACATAAACAAATTACAGAAAGGTAAGTTATGTCGGAATCAACAGCGGGTAAGTTTCAGGGGGGCATGAGCAAAAAAGCCATTATCGCACCCCCCAAAAATAGACAGAATAACCTTTTCGAGCGCTTCATTGATATAAACCAATTACTACCTGTAACTTCAAAAGTGTTTCGTATGTTAGCGTGTGAAATTTAAGTTGTTTAGCTTGTCGTAAATTCGTGAAACGTAATGATCTATACTCATGTTAATTGCGTTAACATCTTCACTAAAATACAGAGTGTCTCACCTACCTTCTTTTAGAAGTATAATAATGTCTGTGTTCTCGAATTCAAATCTGACCATACTATATTTCCCGACAAACGTTTCTATGTGATATATATATATATATATATGTATATATTATCACGAATGACAATTGATGCGGCAATGATAACTGAAGAATCCAAATGTTTAATGGGGCGAACTTGTGCCCCCCAAAAAAGGGAACCCAAGAAAACAGCAGAGCGTCGCGGGCGTCGATGTCCGCGAGACCGCAGGATCGAGCGCTGGGGCGAGACCGACCTTGGCTCGCCACGCGAAGCCCCTGATGTACCAGTGTTGCGGAATGGGCACCCCCATTTCATTCCAATTCCATTCCGGGGAATTAGAGTTTTCGATAATTCCATTCCTTTCAACTCCTAGGAATGGGGACACCGGGCCCATTCCCACTCCTGGAACGGCTAAATCGTTCCATTCCATTCCTCTAATTCCTAAACGTAAAAATTGGCACTTGATAGCTGCATTGTGTTGCAGGGTTGCGCAGAAATATTCAAAAATGTATTTGGAAATATAAATAATGGGATAGATGAAAATTGTAGCTAAAATACTGATACTCAAATATATCTGTAAAAATGTATCGCGATACGTATCGGAAATGCATTAAAAAAAAGGCAAAAAGGTTTTGGAAATACAAATACAAGAACACATTTTAGGGAGGGCAGAAATATAAATACTGAAATTGTAATACATTTTTTCAAATTTCTTTTAAACGCCAAATGAGATGAGGCTTTAAGTTTGAAGCGGAAGTTTTTTGTGTTCTTTTTTTCTGGTCCCGAAATGATTTTTTTTGCAGGCTTGGCACTTCGCCTTCAAGGTAGCGGTCCCGGACGAAGAGTCCTCAAGTCAATGGGTTTAAGAAAACGTTCCATCAAGGATTGACCGCGGTCCCTTCCCTGGCATCCTCTCTGACTGACCAGTGATGCGAAAAGACTTCGACCTCTAAATAAATTCCATCAGAACATCATCACTTCCCTGTCCAATAAATGCGCCCCTGTCAGCACTGATCCCATGACGTCAAGGTGGGATGAACTAGTATTCTTGAATCTGTAGGTGTTGCCTTAAACATGAAACTTTACCCACGCTGCTGTATGAAAGAAGAATACATACTTTCGTTGTAGGTGACCTCGTTGAAGACCACGCAGGCAGTTGCATTTGAAACTTTCGAGAAAAGTGGACCGCTTGAAGCATCTTGAAGCACATGTCTTATCTTCTGTTACGGTTGAAAAATCGATACGGTGTTATCCCTGTTGTGATGGTCCTTCCTGCCGACTCTCGGCCTCCCACGCATGAATGGCAGTCTTCAAGTTTCCTAGCATCATTCAAACAGAGACCTCTTGGATTGCGACCTGAGATGGCCGGCACAGGTGCAAACTCTCCGAGAAACAGCGCGCTCGAGACGAGTCGCAGGTGTACGAAGTCTGGGTCCGCACAGCGAGGCCACGTCAGGCCTCCTTCCTGGGTATCGGATCACCAGAGCAGCGGGTCACGTTCACGTCGGCTGGTGACGTACCCTTGAGCCGTGCAATATTACAGGCGCAGACGCTTTCGGATATGTGTTGAACTTCGCTGGTGAAAGGCGCCACAGCCCCCCCCCCTTTCCCCCCTCTGTTCTTTGCTTTGGCGTTTGTTTTTTGTATTGAATTTTTTTTTTGCGTATAAGTCTGTTAGGGCCTTACACCAGTTCGCAGTTTCCCTCTTATTTTATTTCTGAACAACCGACTCCCTGACTGGCTCGGTATAGCTGAACGTAAAAAAATAAATAAAATATAAAGACCTGGCCCATTCCATTCCCATTCCGGGCAAAAGGCATCTAATTCCATTCCAATTGCATTCCCATCACCGTTGCCGCCATTCCATTCCCATTCCATTCCGGGTCGCGAAAATTCGGAATGATTCCGGAATCATTCCAACTCCGGAGTGGCAACTCCGCAACACTGTTATGTACACGCGTGGGCTTCTGGAATGGTCGGCGTAGAAGGTTCGACGCGTAGAACATTCTAACCTCGAATTAGCCAACACGGCTCTCGAATTTACCAGAACATCATATTAAGACAAGAAAAATGCGTACCCGCGGCCAGGAATCCAGCCCTGGCTTTCTGCGTGGAAGGCGCGCGCGATAACCGTTAGGGCACGAGCGCGCTGCCTGCTTGGTCAAGCTGCGCTCGCGGCATTAATCCCTCCGTTAAAAAAGTGCATCGTCGCGATGCACAAAACTAAAATACAGATCCGCAGCAAAATGATAGCAGAGTCGCGAGCCACAGCTCACAGTTCACAGTTCACTCTGACGAGAGTCCAAAGTTCTATCGTTCGTAATACGGCTTGAGCCGGACGACGTGCACCATAGGGTCGTGGCTGGCGTCTTGCAGATGGGCACGTTCCGTCGGGTAGAACTTCGTACTTCAGATTGAGGAGGCGTCGGATGATTTTGCAGGGTCCGAAACAGCGTTTGAGAAGCTTCTCGCTGAGTCCGCGGCGCCGCATTGGTGTCCACACCCATACCCGGTCTCCGGGTTGAAAGTGGACCTCCCGGCGACGAAGGTTATAGCGGCGTGCGTCGACTCGCTGTTAATTGTGGATTCAAAGGCGAGCTAGTTGGCAAGCCTCTTCTGCTCTCTGACTGACCGCATGGGCATCGTCGCGTCCTTCATCCACTGGCTCATGGGGCAGAATCGCGTCCAGCATGGTCGTCACTTTTCTGCCATGCACCAGCTCGGATGGTGTAAACCCGGTTGTTTCTTCAGCTGCGGTGTTCTAGGCGTACGTGACGTATGGTAGCACCTCGTCCCACGCCTTGTGCTCTACGTCGACGTCGGCGATCGTCTTGTTGAGTCGCTCCGTTAGGCCGTTGGTCTGCGGATGGTACGCGGTGGTCCGACTATGTCTGGTGTGGCTGAGCCGAAGGATCTCTTGCGTGAGCTGAGCCAAAAACGATAACCCGCGGTCGCTTATCAAAATTTCGGGGGCGCCTTGTTGAAGGAAAATAGATTCGACAAAAAACTTGGCGACTTCCACCGCTGTTCCCGACGGAAGGGGTTTCGCCTCGGTGTATCGTGTAAGATAATCGGTCGCGACGATAATCTAACGGGTTCCTTGCGTCGATGTATGGAAAGGCCCAAATAAATCCATTCCAACCTGCTGGCAGGGCGTAGTCGGGGCAGATATCGGCTGCAGGAGTCCTGCTGGCTTCGTCGGAGGCTTCTTACGTCATTGGCACTCATGGCAGGACCGTGTATACAAATGGACGGTTT